ACAGCTTAGCATACTAAGTGCCTGCTTAGGCAAGTATAGGGACCGGGGTTCAAGCTCAGCACCACATGCCATGCTGGTCCTGCCCCAGGGCACTCTGAGCTGTCACCTAGACCAAGTGTGGTGATGCACACCTGTAATCCCAGTGCTGGGGAGGCTGAAAACAGAAGGATCACCATGAGTCCAAGCTGTGTAGTGAGACCCTCTACCAAGTATTTACAAAAACAAAACAGACATGCTCTGTTGAAATATTTTCAAGTGAAAATTTTATTGTGTATATTTAAGTTATACAATGTGATGTTTTCAATGTACATCTAAATAATGAAAAGGCTACTACAGTCAAATAAAGTAACCTTTCCTTCATTTCACAGATGTCCATTGTGTTTTTATAGTGGGTGGACACACCTAACTACCCTTTAAACAAATCTCAAGAACATTAGAGCACTATTTAGTGCAGCCCTTATTTGTATACTGAGTCTTTCTTGAATGGTATCAATGTCAGGTCTGCATTCTCCTGATTATGTAGGCCTAGACTGGGGTGAGGCAAGTGTGGGCACAGGGAGGATGTAGTCTACGTGGCAGTGATAATGGACTAAGGTAGTGTTGGTGAAGATGAAGGGATGAAGGGATGGACTGAAGCAGATGGACTGAAGAAATGTGTAGAAAACAGTCGATGGGTCTTGGTGCTGGATTGGACGTTGTGGGTAAAGGTAATGTGGTTGTCAAAGTGATATATTTAGTGGTTTCAGCTGGATTTTAAAAAAGAGACACAACTCTTTACCATGGATTGATTGGTCCACGGTCAGCACCCTTGAGCTCCATCCCCTCATCTCCCAAGCTTTCCAGCTCCTTCTTAGTATAGCAAAGCTTCTCTCGGGATCTGAGATATGTTGATATTTTTTCAGTCCTTCATAGTTCCTGTGCTTAACTGTGGACAGGCTTTTTGTAGCTGTAGTTTCCACTGCTTATATTGCTCTTGCCCAGTTGCCTAACTCATTTTTATCATTCATAGTTCAATTGCCACCTACTCAGGGAAGCTTCCCCTGACTTTCCTAATTAAATCTAACTATCCTCTTAAAGCACTCAAACACTATGTGCCATGCCCTTGTGCAATCTACGTGAGCCCTAGCAGCTCGTATTCCTGTGGCTTTGCAGTTGTATCTGACCTAAGTTCTGTACTAGGATATAAACTAATGAAGACTCTCTCTCTCTCTCTCTCTCTCTCTCTCTCTCTGTATGTATGTATGTATGTATGTAACAAGTTTCTGGCTAAAAAGACTGAACACAAGAGAGTTCAATTCATCTGTATTATTTTTTACAATATTAAAATAATCTCAAATAAAATCCCAAGGGATTTTTTTACATTAATAAAATGGATATGAAGTTCATTTGGAAGAAGCTTATTGAAAATAGAATTCTGAAAATTAATTATTAGTGATCAAATTTGCTCTAATAGATATTAAAATATACCATAAAGCAATAACCATTGACCACTGTAATATAGTTGAATAGGAACCGCGTTCACATCCATCAGAGAAGTGGAGTCTCTTTCATAACAATGAATGCAAGTAATTCTCAGGCTTTAAAACTCAATTCCAGACCAGTGTGGATCGTGTCCTCCTGTCGGTGGAATGCTGTGTTCTGATTTTGAGCCCTTCACTAGCTAGAGAGATTGGATTACCACTCTTGGTAATCAGGACCCCGTCTATGATCATATTAACACCCTCCGTTAATTAGGACCCTTTCTTAGAGCTGTAGTCAATTCGAGAAGCCATGCTGTCAGTGGAGTTAAATGTACTCAGTACTCACTGTACTTGGGGAAAATCATAAGGGAGAAATGGGAAACTTCCAGAGAGAAGAAGAAGCAAAAAATAGAGAGAGCGTTGAGGCACTTTTCAACACTGTAATTCAAAATTTGTTTTCGAAAAATTACACTACCCACTGAAAATGGATTGTAAGTTGATGTAGCCTTTCTGGAGGGCAATTTGGCAATACATGAAAAATATTTAAAACATATATAGCAAATCTTGCAAAGTGTGTGTGTGTGTGTGTGTGTGTGTGTTTGTGTAGAAATTAGAAGAAAGCACAAAAAATGTTCATGTGGTTGTCGTCAGGAGTTAAGTTTATAAGTGATTTTTTTTCAGTGTTCTCCACATTTTCTATAACAAGTCTAATTACCTTTATTTAAACACAAAGAGCATAAAGTAACCTTTTTTATTTCAAAGCATGGATAACTTCCAGTCAAGAATTTCTTCTTAACGCTGGAGTAGTACGAAAGTAGTCTGAGGATTCCTCTGTCCTCTTAAGTTAATGAAAGGGAAATATCTGAATCAAATATTCTATGGTTTAGGGTTTCAAAATTAACCTGACTGGTCTAGAATTTAGGAAAAAAAGATAGCATGAAATCCTGCAGAAGGCATGTACTTATCGCAGAATGTTTAGCATTTTATTGCTTGTCTGTTTAAATCAACTCAATACTCAGGCTTTCAGAGAGAGCACATTGGCCAAGCAATGGCCGTGACTCATCCACATGGCTGACACTGACAGAGGTTCTACAATCTGAGGTAGAGGATCTCAGGATAGATCCTGAGGGGGTTTCACTGATCTTTTCAGATACAAAAGCTGTAATTCTTGTTACATAGGTCTTGCTTTATCTTGGTCTTAACCATCCAGCAGAAAAGTATAAAAACGAAGTACAAGAAATAAAGCCATGTTGTTATGCTGAGCTGTAGGGGACTCAGGTCAACAACTTCTGACATAGCCAGTCAAGTGGAAGACCCAATACTATTATGGACTACTGAACTATTTTGGAATATTTTGCTGAGTTCACACACCTACAATATTTAAATGATGGAACTAAACAAAAAAAGGGGATATAGATGAATGACCATTTTGTATCTGTGTATTCAAAATGGTTAGGATAGATATATAGCTACATTC